GGCTTTCAGGCTCAGGTGTTTCCCCTGCGGTCCAGTGTCATAGCAGTTTTGACGAGACCTGCGGTCACTCTCCATCCTACCGGCACACCGGCAGAATCGCCCCCTCGGATGGCCCCAGTACTCTTCTTGCTGAGTGAAGGCTCCCCGTGTCTTGGGCTAGTTAGCATCACCCTGTGGGAGGCAGGGAGATACAGGCCCCTCCTTTCACAGACGAGAGTGAAGGCTCCTCCCAGGTCTCCAGTCACTTGGTGTCCTAGCCGCTGGCTGGAGGCTGGACGAGAGGGTTGTGCACAGACACCAGGAAAGGGACTTCTCTCTCACCACGCGCACGCACTGCGCCATGAACACAGGGAGAATGTAGGTATAATTGTGGGGGCCAGCCAGTAGCATGGTGGTTAGGCAGCTGACTCCACATGGCTGACTGCACAGTTCGAGTCCTGGTGGCTTAAAAAACACACCAGGGGGACCAGCAGTTGGTGTAATGGCTATGTCGCTGGACTCCCACGTAGTCAACTGCAGTTTGAGCCCTGGACCTGGTGACTTAAACTCATGCCGAGCATGTGTGTGTGTGCCCGAGATCCTGAGAGGAGAATGGAGAAGAAGGGACTGCAGCGTGGCCATCCTCCCTGGGGGGTGATTTCTTGCTTTCTGTCTCTCTGTCACACTGTCTTTTTAGTGAGCACAAGTGCCCTATAGCAAAAACCTCTCAAAAAACAAAAACAAAAACAAAAACAAACAAACAAACAAACAAAAAACCCACCAGTATATCTGATGAGCACACATACCCTAAAGTAATTTTTTTCAAAAGTAAATGTAATTTGTATGTAATTGAATGTAAATTACATAAAATTACAAGTATGTATTTAAAAGTTTCTTAATTATAATCACAGAGATTAGGAATAATATGTGGTATGCTTATTTGCATACCAGTTTTTATTTAACTAAAACTCTAGTTTAAAAAAATCTAACCCACTTTAGACAAAAGTCAAATACTGTGTAAGACTTCGTGTATAAATTACATTTGTTCTCCATTCTGCAGCTCTGCGTTGGGCGGCTGCACGTGTAACTGACCCACTTACGACCTGGTTACGCAGAGAGAGGCAAATTAATACTGTGGGGATCTTGTGTGTTTTCCCCAGGCATCCTGGCAGAACTATGCCCATGCCAAATCTAGAGCTTAGTATAACTTTTATTGCACACAGAATTCATTATACGAAGGGGTCTTCAAACCATTAATGGAAAAATGCACATCATAAAAAAAACTATGCATGGGTTTTAAAGCTTTTTCTCACCAAAACAGACTTCTTTGTACTTTAATTCTGTTTTTCCTCAAACGCTTTGAAGTCCCCTCATGTGTATGTAATTACTGTTAAGGTGCAGGCTAGCCAGGTTCACCTTCTTCAACATGGATGGAGATTTGTAACTGATATTAACTCACAATTACTCAGACTTAATCACTATCGCCAACCAGATAAAGGTTCCCATACAAGGACATGTGCATGTCACATGTACTAACATAATGTCACTTCTACTGTAAAATCATACTCATAGAGGGGCCAGTAGGTGACATCATGGTTAAGGCACTAGATTCCCACATGGCCGACTACAGTTCGAGTCCTGAATCTGGTAACTGAAAATCATGCCAAGCACATGTGTGCGTGTGCCCAAAGTGCTGAGAGGAGATTGGAGGAGAAGGGCTTGCAGCGTGGCCATCCCCCAGGGGGTGGTTTCTCACTTTCCCTCTCTATTTCTCTCGGTCTCTCTCTGGCTAGTGCACATGCCCTATGGCAAAAACTTAAAGAAACGAAAAGCAACAACAAAAAATTCTATTCAGAGAGAACTCTACCACACATGTAAATTCAGTTTGTGGATTATGGTCAGTTTTTCTAACATGACCATTTCCAATTAATTTTGAGACAGGTTGACCAAAAAATCAACCTGGGGTTTGGACGCATTCTGAAATTGAGTAGAGCCAAAGTGGAATAGAATGGTAGAACTTTTCTTTCTTTCTTTCTTTTCTTTTCTTTTTTTTTTTTTTTTTTTTTGTAGTTTTATGGACAAAGTATTTATCTCTTTTTTTTGTTTCACTTTTTAATCGATTGATGCAAACACAAATGCTGACTTGACATAATTCACAAATAACTTTTCCTTTCTCGTTTACAAACCAACAGGTCGGGAAGTCCAGGAGCCCACCACGATCACCGTGTGGCCCACGCTGTATTCGCAGTTCAGAAGTTTCCTCCAGCCCGTCTCTTCCTTACACCCTCAAACGTCTTCATCATGTGTTTAATGAGACTGAGCCACAGGAACACCGAGGTGCCGGGCCGGCCCACTGTCAGCCAGCGGGGGTTATGTTTTAAAAGTTCATTTACTTACTGAGAGAGAGAGAGGCAGGCACCCCAGTGTGGTCCTGGCGGTACTGTCCCATTCTCGGCCTCGGCCGGCCTGGGTGGTGGGCAGCGCCGCTCAGGCAGCAGGGACACAGAGCATCGCTTCCCCCCGGGCCGCCAGCTGACCCTGCATGCAGGCAACGTGCTTTCGCTTCTTCCTCAACCATCGCCTCCACTCGAGGGCGGGCTGTGGTGCAGCAGGAAACCCGCTTTTGCTTTTGGAGACTTCTCTGAACACAGAGTACACGCGTGCCCATGAGCGGGGCTGGCTGAAGCTGGAGGTGGACCATGGTGTCAACTGGGCTGCTGTATCTCTCTCTTACTAACGGAAGAAATAAACTACTTTTTAGGTTTTAAAACTTCACATTGATGATTTTTTTTTTAAAAGACAGGGTCTCCTTGTTGTGGTCCTGCTGCCTCAGTCTCCTCTAGTTTCCGGCATGGCAAGTGCCCTCCACGGTGTGTGGCCTTAGGTTGGCCCAGGAGTCGAGACCCGGCCTCGCATGGAGCTGGCCCGTGCAGCCCAGCACCTCAGCAGCCCGTGCCACCACTGCTGGGCCTCCTTGCTGAGCTGTTTAGCATCTGGCCAGAGGAACTGTAGAGACCCAAGTGTGACTGGGCCGCAGGCTTCTGTGGATGTCTTATGCCCCCCCTAGGCTGCCCCCCGACGTAGGGACCCACTGAGCTACCTCAGGTCATTCCTTCCTGCTTGGCCTGGAAATGGCTTCCAGCTCACCCCAGGTACCGCCTCCAGCTCGCCCCAGATCCTGCCTCCAGCTCACCCCTAGACTTGAGTCACTGGAAAGCTGGGTGCCCTGACGCTCCTGCAAGTCGGCTCTGGCTGTGCTGGACTGCTATATCGAAGCGCACCCTGGAGGGTCGGAGCACGGTGGTGGCTACTTTTGCTTTGGAACACGCTGTCTCTCATCTGTGCTGAGGTACACGTCCAGTCCAGCCATGGTCCCCGTGGAGGCTAGGGAGCAGAGGCCTACCTGTAACCCATGCTGGGCTCACAGGCCCGCACAGGAGCCAGGCTCCCAGCCGTGTCCTCGTGCACCCTGGGCACCCTGGTCTGACGTCCCTGTAGGGCTGGACTCAGACCAGACTCAGAAGGGTTGTGGCACTACTTTTGTGTCATAGGCTGCTGGATCCACTCAGAGAAACAATGGATTCCCTTGAGGTCAGGTGATGGCCAGCAGAGACTGGGAGAAGGACGTTCATGGGTCCCGAACCAGCAGAGCAAACACAGTTACCAAGGAGTTGGCCAACCTGAGGTCTAGTCCCCTGACTCTCATAGGAAATTCCATTCACAAAGCAGGTGGGCTTTCGTGATAGCATCGATGAGGAAATGCCTTACCAGCGAGCGGAGGTCTATTCCCAATCTGCCAGTTCTGGAGCCTTGCAGAGAGCCTGTCATGGCCCCAGGTCCTGGCCTCCCACATGGCCTGGCCAGCTCCACAGCAGGGTCCCCTCAAGGGAGAGGCCGGGGTGCCCTTGCCCCTGAAGACAGTGTGACCAGGATGGCGAGTGTGGAGGACTGCGTGACCACAGAGGAGGGGCGGGCGGCATGACCATGGTGGAGGGGCGAGCAGTGTGACTATGGTGGAGGGACGGGCGGTGTGACCAGCGCGGTGAGCGTGGAGGTGTGCACGAGTGTGAGCCCGGCAGCCCAGCAGCGGCAAAGCTTCTCCCAGCTATTAGTAGTAAGACTGGAAACCCAGTCCCTTGCTTCCGTGGACAATCCGGGCGTAGGTCTCCAGGTGGAAGCAACGCCTGGCAGGCTACACCTTCCTGTGTCCATGGTCTTCCCTTCCGTCCCCCTCCCTTCCTTCCTTCCCTTTGTCCCTCTCTACTTCTGCTTTGCTTTTTCTCCTTTTTACTCTCTAATCAAAGTGCTCGGTGTCTCAACTAAAGGCATTGCAACACGGTCTGTTTGCAGCATGTCCAGCATCACAGCCTGCGTTCAAGCAGGACGGCCGGCCCCAGCCACGGGCAGTGGGCTTCTGTCCGTGGCCACCACTGGCTGGCAAGATCATCTGTGGAAATAATCTCATTGACAAGCTGATCTTTTACGTCCTGACGCCTGTCAAAACCTTGCCAGAGCCCAGGGACAATCAAGGCTGTTGTGCTTTCATTTTACCCATGAATTGGCATCAGAAGCTAATGGTGAGGTTGGCTAAGTTTCTGGGATTTTTGAGATGTTTTTCATACCAGCTAGAAAGATTATTTTATCAGTGACCTTTGTAGACTAACTGCAGTAAACAGGAAACCATTCAGCCACTATGAATTATGTAATAATTGGAAATTGTCTAGACAGGGTGAGGAGGGCAACACATAGAGCAAATTCTTAGAAGCAACAGCAGTCTGGCATAGAAATGTCAACCGAGAAGGCCTGCATGTCCCTGCTGCTGAGCTCCGTCCATCCCTCTGTCCCTCCCCTCTCCCCTTTGACCCCGACACGGAGGAGTTCTCACGTCAGTTACAGCCTCCCCTCCCCCCGTTTACTAACGGGATGCGATGTCACCTTTGCGCCATGGCTGTGTTTCTTTCCCAGCCTTCTCGCTCTGGGGTAAAACTTTAACAGGTGAAGAGTCAAGGTTCTAACGCAGGAAGAAGCCTGAGTTGGACGTGATTGCTCTGGCATTTCGTAGGCTGTGGAGGGACACAGGACCATGGAGCCCTCATGCTGAAGATCCAGCCCAAACAGCACCGTCTGCAGAGCTGAGCTTCCCCTCGCATGGCAGAAAGCCACGCGTGTGCACAAATGCATCCCTGGGCATGTTACGTGGAGGAAGTAGAAACAAAAGATAGGAAAGAGACAACTTCAGGCCAGCCCACAGCCTCACGGTTAAGGCAGCCGAATCCCACAGGAGAGACTGATGTTCCAGGTCTGCATGCCTGGAGTCGGGAAAAGCGGGTGAAATGGAGGGGGGGACTACTGCATGGCCGAGCCCCTGGGGTGCTTTCTCACTTTCCCTCGCTGTCTCTTTCCAGCAAGCACATGTGCCCTCTAGCCAAAAAACAAACAAACAAACAAACAAGAAAACAAACAAACAAAAAGACACATCAGTTAACTGTTCTCAATGCTCCTTCCTTCCCCAGTGAGAAAATAAAACCGGTCGGAACTACACACCACGGTCCATGGACACAGCGAGACAGTACGAAACAGGACCGACTCGCTAAGAAGAGCTGTGCTCAGCTGGGAGCCAGTGCTGCGCAGATAAGGAGGGGAACCAGGGCCAGCATGCAACATGGTGATTAAGGTACTGGATCCCACATGGCCCACTGTGTGGTTCGAGTCCCAATCCTGGCAGCGTGAGAAACGCACTGGATGGGGTGTGTGCGTGTCCAAAATTCCAAGAGGAGAATGGAGGAGAGGGGATTGTGCCATGGCCATCCCCCGGGAGGTGCTCTCTCACTTTTCTCTCTCTCTCTTTCTGTCTCTCTCTCTTTCTGTCTCTCTGTCTCTTTCTGTCTCTCTCTCTTTCTGTCTCTCTCTCTCTTTCTGTCTCTCTCTCTTTCTGTCTCTCTCTCTCTCTGTCTCTGTCTCTCTCTCCTGTCATGCATCCTATTGTACAAACTGAAAGAACAAAGAAGGTAACTGAGAGCTGGAGCAGGACCCTCCAAGAACAGAGGTGACACAGTGATACGGAGCTCAAGTGCCCCTCGTGCTGGGTACAGGAACAGGTGTGTGGAGGAGGTGGCTTTGAGCTGGCCCTTGGAAAGGGTAACATAGACAGAGGGAGACGCGCAGAAGCAACAAGGACCACAGCCAGACTGGGAAGACGGACTCTGTCCTGCCGGTGGTGGCCGGTACAACAGGGGAAACAACGCTGGCCCTGAGGCTGGAGCAGCGGCTGGGAGTTGAGTCCGGTGGTGGGACGGCACAGGTGTCGTATGCGTCTGACACTCGCTGTCATATGTGCATTCTCTGGGACCCTGTGCACGGACCTGTGACCCAGCACGGTGAGGCTAAGCTAACTGCCCTGTATCTCCTGAGCATTTCGGCTGGGACCAGAGACAAGGGTTCCTGTGAAGATACAACCAATTCTTGAACAAGGGGGGGTTAAGGGCACTGCCTTCCTGCACATCAAAACTTGTGTATAACTTCCGAATCCCCCAAAACCTAACTACTGATAGCCTGCTGCTAACCAGGCGCCTCACTGACAACAAAACAGTCAACATGTCAACACACATTTTGTATGTTACGGGTACCATGTACTGTGTTCCCACAGCAAAGCAAGTTAGAGAGAAGAAATATGATTAAGAAACTCATAAGGAGCAGAAAAGACTGACAGTATTGCGCTGTGTTTTCCAATATATTTACTAGGAAAAAGTCCACCCGTAGCAGCCCAAACCCGTGTTGTTCGAGGGTTAGTGTGCTTCACAGGGAAGGGCAGGGATACCGACAGCACCCTGGGCAGTCAACCAAGAGTGAAGTACCCGGGAAGGCAAGGTGGCCCACTGGCGCACACGCCACGCCCTGCCACACCCTGCCACGGGAATGCCACTGCTGGGTCTCACTGGGAACTCTAGCTCGCAGCCTGCTCGAGGCCAGCCCAGGCATGCCAAAGCTTCTCCCTGCGTAATGAGAGCTTCAGGGAAGACTGGAGCCAGAGAGTGGACAGGTGGGGACCGCGTTCACCTGCCCATCTCACCATAGCCTCACATCCCAGCACCACCTCGGGCCCCTGAGAACTTGGCGACATGGGCAGTGAAAGACTGGAGACCCCCGTCAGCCAGACTGTGCCCTCCGCTGACAGCGGGACGAAGCAAAACCACCCTCTCTGTGGAGCCTCTTTTTGGGATTTTCCTTTTATGGCAACTGTAAGTCCCCAAGTTGAGGTTCTGATGTGGCCCTCCCTGCTGTCCTTGGTGCACCCTGGCCAGCTCCCAGGGAAGCTCGAGTCCAGGGCAGTGCCAGGGGAGGCGAAGGAGGCCGGGGCTGCTCCGCTCAGGAAACTGATACGGAGATATTCGCAAGAGTGGGATTTATCAGAAAATCCAGTCTTCGCCCAGTATTTCTTGGAAACATTTTGGAAAAAAGGTAGCAATTGATGAATCCCGGTGGGAATCCCCTTGGCTGGCCACCTGCTCTCCGTGTGCTGATAAGAAACTCCGTGTTGGGGCCAGCAGATGGGGTCATGGTGACACTGCTGGACTCCCATGACGTTGACCATGGTTTGAGCCCCGGACTCAGCGACTTAAATCTCACACCAGGCATGTGGGCGTGTATCCCAAAATCCCGAGAGGAGAGCAGAGAAGGGATTGCAGCATAGCCATCCCTCCGGGGGTGATTTCTCACTTTCTGTCTCACTGTCTTGCTCTGTCTCTATGGTGAGAACATGCACCCTATATCAAAAAAAAAAAAAAAAAAAAGGAAACTCAGTGTTTTGTGGAAAAATAAAACAATTGGTGATGACAGAACGAGGAATGGAGAATGTACGAGAACAGAGGCCGACCTCCTTGCTCTGCCCTTCGCGTTTTGTTTTAATTTATTATTATTATTTCCACAATTAACTGTGTATAGCATTACAGCACACAAAGTTACTTTCCCCAGCATAAATCCGCTGTGTATTAGTTCAGTAAAAGTAACCACCGTTCGCATTATCATCACAAATATTTTCCATTTTTGTGTCCCTTAAATATTCTGTTTCTCGTTAGTACAGTAGGTAGTGCTTCAGTCTCTGTCCCTTTGAAAAGGATGTGGATGATTTAATTAGTGGATTCGACTAAAACTGACTGAGCGCTACAGACATGGGTTAGGTTTCCTCTCCAGGCTTCTCACCTTTCACCGTCGGGGCTGTGCACCGGAAACATTGGGCTTTCTGCGACCCTGCGAGGGAACAAACACGGGCAGCTTTGCCGTAGCACTCTCATCCCGAGCCAGCACCCCCAGGGTTGTGTTCCTCTTTCCTTGTGGCGAGCGTGGGAGGTGCCTGTTGGATTTGGAGGGGAGCATCACCTTGCTGCCAGGTGGCAGGTTTCCACTCTCCTGGGAGCAGATCCTGCTGTCAGCTGAGCCCTCCAGTTTTGCAAAGACCCGTGTGTGCCACTAGATCAGCGGCCGAATCGGGACGAGGTGGGGTCGGAGGAGTCGTTGCAGTCCTTTCTGGTTACAGCTGACAGGTGCACCTGCTAGGGAGGGGCAGCGTGCCAGCTCAGAACTTTGTTTCTACCTATCCAACTTGGAAACTAATTTACATCGCTGATCTCGGAATAAAATGAAAAGGAGGGCCGGCAGGTGGCTTGGAGGTTACGGTGCTGGATCCCACATGGCCAGCTTCACAGTTCAAGTCATGGACTGGGTGGCTTGAGAATCACATTGGGTGTGTGTGTACGTGCCCAAAGTTCTGAGAAGAGAATGGAGGAGAAGGGATTGTGGTGTGGTCAATGCCCCGGAGGAGGGGACTTCTCACTTTCTTTCTCTCCCTGGCAAGCACATATCTGTTACAGCAAAAACTTTTAAAAAAGGAAGGGGGAACTATGAAAATATTTATGATAGCCTGTGTTTTGATGTTTTTGAATATTACTACAAGGAGTTTTATAGTACAAAACAGGTGTCGTGTGAGGGTCGCTGCCTTCGTACTTCATAGAACAGAGCAGCAGAAGCACGCGGCCAGTTGCTTACTTGTTTCTATGTATGGGAGGTCTGGAAAAGGGAGGAATGTCTCCCTGACATCTGAGACAGAGGTTGCCTGAATCGCCACAGCACAGTGATGAAGATTCTCTTCTCCAGAGGAGAGCATGAGCTTCAGCACCCTAGAACACGAGCTGCAAGACATTCTTGAATGGCAGTCTGCCAATGGCAGAGGAGGTGTGTGTGTTTCACACACACGCACAGACACACACACATGCACAAGCACGCACACACACACGTGCACACACACATCATTGCTGCTGAGCTGATTATTTAACCAGCATTTACTGAGTGCTCGCTGGGTCCTCCGAATTCAGGCCAAACACGATTCTCAGCTGAGGAACTGAAGCTGTGCTGGGAGACAAGTCTCTCCTCCGGTTTTCCTGGTCAAGTCCTCCTTAACACATCAGTCTCAGTTTAGATATTGTTCTTCCTTGTGTTTTGTCGTGGCTAGAGCCCTTGTCCTGCGATCAGCCCTCCCAACAACTTCTGTGCACCCTGTGCTCTCACGACCTCACTGCGTGGAGTTGTAAAGCCGGTCTCCAGGGCTCGTCCGTTTCGCTTGGCTGAAACTTTATGCCCCTGGTGAGTAACTTCCAGACACCGTTTCTTCTTCTTTTTCTTCATTTTTTTCTAATTTGCAAGAAAGTGCATGAACTCACTAGAGAGAAAGAGACAGAGAGGGGAGGATAGGGGGAGGGGAAGCATGCCTATGGGGATGGCCTAACCACGATCCCGTCTCAACGTTCCCCCTTTGCAGGATTTGGAGCATGCACACACAGCATTTTCCTTTTCTTTCTACCCCCCCCCCCCCAGGGCTTTGCCGTAGGGCACGTCTACTCGTTGGAGAGAGACAGAGAGGAGGAAGGTGAGAAATCACTCCCCGGGGGGATGGTACACCACAATCCCTTCTCCTCCATTCTCCTCTTGGGACTTTGGGCATGCATGCACAAACACCCAGCATGATTTTCAAGCTGCTGGGTCTAGGACTCAAACTGGTCAGCCATGTAGGAGTCCAGCACCTGGACCACTCTACCACCTGCTGGCCCCCATCCTAGCTTGCTTTTCATTCTACCACCAGGTTTGGGACTTGAACTGTGCAGTCAGTCCTGTGAGATCTAGCTCCACTTAGCCACCGAGGCACCGTCGCTTCTTAGAAACCTTTATCGTAGGGTGTGCGCACTCTCCAGAGACAGCACAAAGAGAAAGAGAGAAGGAAAGTGAGAAGCACCGCCATTTCCCCGTCCTGCTGCGAGTCCAGACACGCACGCATGCACACCTGCTTCTGGGCGTGCACCTCTCTGCTTGTGGCATGGCGCTGTCCAGCTGTTCAGCTTGCTCTGCACTCTCCTAAGTGGCCTTTGACTCAACTGCATCCCTTCCCCGCTCCCTTCCCAGGGCAGGTGCTGTGCTGTCCACCTGTCCTGTGCCTGGCGCACAGCAGAAAGCCCATCAATATTCTACGACGAATGAGCAAGGTCAGCACGCACAGCATGATGACCCTGGGCAGTCGTGCGGGGACGTGCGGCAAGGACTTCCAAACCAGTGGGTTCCCAGAAGGTTTTGGAGAACACACGAGTCTGTGAAGAGACCAATAGTCTTCTAGGAAACACCAGTACACAGGGGTACCAGCATGCCGGAGAGCGTCACAGGGCCTGGCAGACAGCTGTCCATCGCCCACTGAAGAGGCCCCGGGTGGGAACAGGTGGTGCCGAGGGGCCTCCCCCAGGGAGAACTGATGGGGTGAGGTGGGGAGTCACCGATGAGTGGGGAGAACCGGGTAAGTGGCTTAACCTGAAGGTTGTCCATGAGCCCCTGAAGGCCAGCTGCGTCCTGGGAGGAACTTCCTACAAATCTGCTTCTTCCGACCCAGCTCCAGAGCTGCCGCCTCAGTGGTTTGGTGTGGACTGCTTCATTACTGACCACACACTGACACGGCTCCCATGTCACCCACGGGCTCGATACTCTCCTGAGGTCGTGGACATGGAGGTGGCGGGAGAGGGACACAGACCTGGGTGATTGGGCACCACACCTTGGGGATCGCGAGGTTGCTCTGGTCCGCAGCCATGTTCGCAGAAAACCGACTGCAGTCGGCGTCTGCCTCCTCCTCACAAGGACCTTCCTGCGCACCCACAGGCCCGTCGTGGGCAAGGCACTCTGACACACCTGCCGCGGTCTGAGCGTCACACACCTGCCGCTCCGTCACCATTCCTACCTCTTTGCTTGATGGCTGTTTTGTTTTATAAATTCACTGTAGGATGTGTGCACTCACCCACTCACCGGAGAGAGACAAAGAGAAAGAGAGGAGGAAAATAAGAAAGCACTCCCCTGGGGGACAGCCGCCCCAGTTCCTTGTTCTCCGTTTCTCCATCCTATTGGGATTCTGGACAAGCACATGTGTGTGGCTGGCATGTTTCTCAAGCCTCTGGATCCGAGACGTGAACCACAGTCCGCCACCATGCCACCTGCCGGGCCTGTCATTTTTAATAACTGTGGTCATGGGATCATAACAGCCGATCAGAGATGGGGTTAGTAACGTCATCTTCCGTGTGACCCCTCTCCTAAGCACTGCCTTCACACTCGCTCCCCTTTGTCTTAGACTCAGGTCAGATTCCCTTCAGGCCCCTAGTGGCTTCCGAGTTTCTAGTTTCTTCATTCTGGGCTAGTGCCAGCCCAAGGGGCTTCCTGGGGCTGGCCGGAGGACGCCTCTCGTGTGAGCACAGGACCCTGGAGGTCTGGGGGCGCGACCATGCTCTCCCAGCACAGACACGGGGGGGGCCTCCCCGGCCTTTGTCAGAGCTCTCACCCCTCAGCACAGGCCAGGTCTCCCACTGGTCCTCCTGCTTGCTCCTGCATCTCGCCCACTCCCCCAGGAAGGCGGCGGGGAGCTCCCCAGGCGGTGGCCTTCTCCTCAGCATCTGAGTCCCCTCCACCGGCCTCTTCTGTGGACACAGTTGACCTGCGCTCGTGCCCGGGTCCTTCCCAGTAGACTGTCCCATGTTCCAGGAGCGTGGCCTTGTCTTTCTCTCTGGAAGGACCCTCTGGAGTCCACCTCTGGGACCTCGCCATGGGCGAGCTGTGACACTAACGACCTTTCCTTCACTTTCTGGCAATGAAGGCCCCCGAGCCCTGCTGTTCACCGCCTGCCGTGAGCCTCCATGACCAATGGGACCGGTGAGGGGACCGGGGCTGTGCTTCCACGAGCCACCCCAGGCTGGAGTTCTCAGACATTGCGACAGCACAGCGCTCGCGACTCGCTGAGTCTGCCGAGCTGGGGCAATCGGCACGGAGGTACTCGCCGGGTCCCTGGCTTTGCCCCGGATTACCCAGCGCTGGTCAGCCTTTGCTGCGATCTCCTTGTTCTTAATGTTGCAAGGCAGCGTGAGATGACTTCGGAGTCAGGTGACCTAAGGGCCGGCTCTTTCTCAGAATTTTATACGCCCCTTAACCTTGTGGAAGTAATAACAATAACAATTGCTCTAATAATGAAAGCCGTTGTGTCAGGGACCCCTATGTGCCAGGCGTGGTGCTAAGCTCTTACCATGCCTTCGCCCACTTGAAGTCCACGGAACTGCGGTCAGGCGTGCCCCCGGCCTTCGCTACAGAACATTTATCGTAGACTCGTAGCTGCCCTCCCAAGCCCAGTGCATGTCCACAGCAGATGCACGAAGCAGCCTGCGCTCTGCCAGGGACCGCAAGCACACGCGCTGCTGACCCGAAGCTGTCAGCACATTCCCGACTCCCTGTTCACAGCCCAGCACGTGGAGACGTTCTCCCAGATGGTCGAACTTCCACTGCAGCTCGGCGCTTGCTCCTGAGTGAGGTGACGGAGGAGAGTGAGCACAGCCCTCTGCAGCCGAAGGGACCAACACCGATGAGAACTCAGGTCCTACGCGCGCAAGACTGCAAGTGCGAGTCAGAAGTAGTCACTGGCCCTTGTTCTTTCACAGCATTACTCTAACCCCGTTTCCTTAATTTAAAAACCTGGACGTAGGGGCCAGCAGGTGGCATGGTGGTTAAGGCGCTGAACTCCCAGATGGTTGACTGTAGTTCGGGTCCCGGACCTGCTGGCTTGAAAATCATGCTGGGTACGTGTGTGTGTGCGTGCGTGTGTGTGTATGTGTGTGCTCAAAATCCCAGGAGGAGAGTGGAGGAGAAGGGATGATGTGTGGCCCTACTCCCTGAGGGGTGATTTCCCACTTTCCTTCTCGCTGTCTTTCTCTGGAAAGTGCACACATCCTATGGCAAAGCCTAAAAAAAATTTGTAAGTAAATAAATAAACTGGGACATTCATCTATGTAACTAAGTCTGGAACAGCAATTGAGCAGCTGAATTGTAACTTCTACTAGTAACATTATTTTCTAGCTCGAGTGTTTTTTCACGAAGGTCCAGTAATTACTACTTAAGAATTGTGTTGGACCACAGTCAAGGTGTTCGTCATCCTACCAGGGCTAACTAAATATGGCGGCCTTTTTTGTAATAGTCCTGGGTTATGTGTTAAACATAAACTGCACGTATACTTTGAACTGAGCTATAAAAATTGGCCTCTAGGTATTGGAATAAAATTGTATTTTCCAAGAGCAAACCTGGATCAAAAGGCAGAATTTTATTAAAGGGTAGCAAGTACGTTCACGGCTCTGTGTGTGTGTGCGTGTGCGTGTGTGTGCGCATGCGTGTGTGTGCATGTGGACTTAGATGGAGAATGACGTATGATAAATTGCATCCCTCCCAAATCACATGTTGGAGGCATATCCCAGAACCCTACCACACGGTCTTCTTTGGAAAGAGGGTCTTCCCAAGTGTAGTCAGGATGAGGTCATTGAGGTGGGCTTTAATTCAGTATGACTGCTGCCCTTTAAAAGGGGGAATCTGGACACGGACGCACACACAGGACCGTGTATAGATAAAGGGGGGAGCTGGGGTGATGTGGCACAAGCCAGGGAATCCCAAAGGTGGCCAGCAAGTGACCAGAAGTGAAAGGTCTGGAACTGAGTCGGCCTCACAGCCTCAGGAGGGCCAGCCCTGCTGGCACCTTGGAATCTGGCTTCCGGATTCCAGAAGGTGAAAGCGCGTGTTCCTGTCGCCAGCCGGCCATGCACGGCACTTCGCTGTGGCCACCCTAAGGAACTAACGTGACCCCAGAGACAACCGAGGTGCGGAGGAAGGACGACAGATGCAGCAGTCTGGTGTCTCTGCGCCCTCTGTCTTACCTGCTTCCATTTCCGTGTGTGCGTTTACTCTACATAGAAATACAACTACACCAGAAGCGCTCCTACCATCAGTGCGCAGCCTGATAACTTTCCCACGTGACACCCCTGTTTAGCCACCGTTAAGGCAGAACCGACGTGCCTAGGGGCCACCCCACCACGCCGCTCCTCCCCTTCCCGAAGGCCACCGTCCCCTGCTCCCAGCAACGTCGACCCGTTTCCCGCGTTTAAACTGCTCCGAGACGGACTAAGATTGTGTGTGCAATTTCATGCGTCGGCACGTGTAGGGCTGAAACCCACCCACGGTGCTGGTTATGGCTGCTTTTCATTTATTTTCACTGGCGGTGCTCTTTGCTATGGGGTATAATGA